GCACAAAACCTGTTACAACTCGATCTTTTCCACCAACGCTTCCCTATGTGTGCCCACATGGCAAGGCTGAAGCAGACTAAATTTATCTGCTTCAAACCAGGTTTTGGTGAGTGGTTCTGTTTAGTTTGAAATGTTTCCTGTTATGACTAAAACACACTTTGCCTGGTTTTCACTGACTCAACACTTCAGGCTGATACCAGGTTCAGAATTTAGTTCACAATAGCCCACAAGAACAAATCCTGATTCTGAGCATCTATTTAAACATTTCTAACACCTCCTCAGCCAGTGCAAATGCCATACAGCGAAGATGAAGGATCGTTCTAAACAATCTGTTCTGTAGTTTAAAAACATCAAGCCCTTTAAAGTGTTTTAGCAGGACTCCAAAGTCTCTAGTGGCTTTCTAACCCTGGAAACAAAGAGGAGTTACTGGATTCAACTCACTTCTCTATTCACAACACTGTAACATTTATTTTTATTCGGGTTTATTACCCACCCAGTGCTGCAGCATCTCCACTATACACAGAATTACAGGATGGTCTGGGTTGGAAGGGACTTTAAAGATCATCTTGTTTTATCCTCCTGCCATGGCCAAGGACACCTTCCACTAGACCAGGTTGCTCCAAGCCCCATCCAACCTGGCCTTGAACACTTCCAGGGATGGGGCAGCCACAGTTTCTCTGGGCAACCTGTGCCAGGGCCTCACCACCCTCACAGGAAAGAATTTCTTCCTCATATCCCATCTAACCCTACTCTCTGTCAGTTTGAAGCCATTTCCCCTTCTCCTGTCACTCCAGGCCCTTGTAAATAGTCTCTCTCCATCTCTCTTGTTGGCTCCCTTCAGGTACTGGAAGGCCACAATTAGGTCACTCTGAAGCTTCTCTTTTCCAGACTGAACAATCCCAATTCTCTCAGCCTTTCCTCACAGCAGAGCTGTTTCCATCCCTCTAATCCTATTTGTACCTCCTCTAGAATTGGTCCAACAGCTCCATGTCCTTCCTGTTCTGGGCCCCCAGAGCTGGAGGCAACTCTGCAGGAGAGATCTTACCTGAGTGGGGCAGAGGGGCAGAATCCCCCCTTCCCTGCTGCCCACGCTGTGGGATCAGCCCAAGACACGGGAGTGTTCTGGGATAGGTCATGTCCGGCCTCTCCCCCACCAGGACCCCCAAGTCCTTTTCCCAGGGCTGCTCTCCATCTGTGCATCCCCAGCCTGGATTGATCCTGGGGGTTGCCCTGACCCAAGTGCAGCACCAGCACTTGGTAACAAGTTCTACTCATACCAGTGCCCTTATGTGCCCCCCAGCTCAGCCCACAGATCCCAGGTCCCACCGTACCTTGCTGGGGTGGATCCCCACGTGGACAGTGGTGCCGTTGGCTTTCTCCCGCTGCACACGCTCGATGTAGATCACATACTTCTTCCTGTACACCTGGACCACCTTCCCAATCTGCTGCCCTTTGTAGTGTCCCCGGACAACCTGAACACCAGCACAGGGAACACACTGACCCACGCTCCAAAAACACCCCTTGAACAACCACCACACCTTATAAACCACTACTGAGTTATCCTGCAGGACACCAGAGCTGCACAGACTGAAATCCCATCTCAGTTCTTTACACACACACGCCACAAAGACATCACTGACTTGACAATTCCTGCATCACTAAAATATAATGGATCAGAACTGTGCTTCGCCCTCACTTTCCTGCAGTAAATCCTAATGAAGCTCTGTAACTTTTCAGCCACAAGGCTTCAACTTGAACAGTTATCTTATTTTTTCACCTGTCATTGCATTTTATATAAAAAAAGCCACTTAACTTAGATTAATTTCCAAATCAATCTTTTAAATATCACAGGCAGCAAATAGTCTATAAAAAAAGAAACAATTTTTTGTGCTTCATTGTTGAAAGCTTTTAATCCAGCACGACAATCACTACATATAAGTGAAGTGTAGTAAAACTGCCACCACACTTGTGTTCGTTCCTTGTATTGTCTTTGTCACTGATGTGAATTTGAGAAACAAAACGTGCTTGACTAAAGCTCAAGTCATAACTAGATTATCTTGGATTATTTCTGCAATACCCAGGGCAAAGCTGCAGCACCAAGGTGAATTTGTCTCGTCCTTCCCTTTTGCACAGGCTACATATGGAAACAGAACCCCAGAATAATTTAGGTTGGAAAAGATCTCTGAGACCACAGAGTCCAACCTGTGACCCGTCACCACTTTGTCAACCAGGCCAGAGCACTGAGTGCCACGTCCAGTCATTCCCTGAACACCTCCTGGGATGGGGACTCCACCACCTCCCTGGGCAGCCCCTTCCAGTGCCTGACAACCCTTTCAGTGAAGACCTCCTTCTGAAAACTAAACCCCAGAGAGTTTCCCGTGCGACAGCTCAGGGCAGTGAGGTACCTGGACCTCGTCGTCCTTGCGGATGGGCATGGAGCGCACGTTGTACTTCTGCCGCAGCTCCTTGGACAGGGGCGAGGACATGATTTTCCTGCGGATGTGGGAAGGGGCATTGAAGTGCCGCTTGCGGTTCTTGCTGCGGTCCGAGGTCACGAACGGGTTGAACTTCATTTTGCCTGCACAGAGAGGAACAGCAGCTCGGGAGATGCTCATAACTCACACACACTGTGTTTCACAGTCCACCCACAGGGCCAGGGCACAAAAAAAGCACTTTTAGCTATTTTTAATCCGCTCACTGGTTAATGGACCCTCATAGCCTTGACGCCAAATGTTTAAGCCTCTTCCACGACTGACAACGACCCTTCTAATCCAAACCTCCCCATTCCCAGCACTCAGGACACCCGGATCCTGCCCTGCAGTCACACCACTCTCACTTATGAACTCGATGTATATTTTGAGCTCGCGGAGGGAACTCGCCCTGCTCCGGCATCCTCAACAGAGCTCCTCGGCAGAGCGCACAGGTAACGCATCTGCAAATCCAAGACACTTCTGGCCTTTCCTAAATTTTAACAACTGCACTGCAGGACTGCCTGTCATAGCACCACTCATCCTGCTGGCAAAGGATAAATTAAATTAAAAGATAAATCAAAGGGTGCTTTTGCTCAGCTCCACAACTTCCCAGTGCACAAACTGGCACCTCCTATGCGAGCTGGACCGTATCAATTTAATAATCCATAACCAAGGCACAGACCGAAGAAGTCCGAGCCCTTCCTGGAGCCTGAGCTCTCCCCGCAGCCCGAGCTCTCCCCGGCAAACCCACCCCACAGCTCCGGGCGGGCCCCCGGCGACTGGGCCCCTTCCTGCTCCCTCCCGCTCCCCTGCGGGGGCCCCGCAGGGCGCTGCGCACGGTCCTGGCCGGGGATGGCGCGGAATGGCCCCTGATGATCCCGGATTATCCCGGATGCCCCCCTCGATCCCTCACCCGCTGCCGCCGCCGCGCTGCCCGCCCGGAAAAGGAGCCACAGCCGCTTCCGCTTCCGGGAGCGGCACCGCGAGACCCCGCGAGACCCCGCGCGCCGGGAAGGGTCGAACGCCCCCTGGCGGCCGGGAGGCCACACGGGCGGGGACAGACCGGGGACGGACCCGGGACAGACCCGGGCATCACCCCCCATACCGACCTGGTACCAACCCTGACTTCATCCCCTGGAACTCACCTGATCGTCATCCCTGGAAGCCACTCGAGAATCATCCCCCGGTATCCACCTGGGCATCATCCCCTGGAAACACCCCAGACATCGCCCCCAGTACCCATCTGGGCATTGTCCCCAACACCCACCTGGGCAGTGTCCCCCAGGACCCACCCGGGCATTATCCTACAGTATTAACCTGGGCATCATTCCCTGGTACCCACCTGAGCATCATCTCCCAGTGCTCACACAGGAATCACCTCCCATGCCCACCTAAGCATCACCTCTGGTACCCACCCGTGCACCCCCTCCTGTCCATCAGAGCTGTTCAGCAGCAGTTACTTCTCTCCATGTCCAGCCCCTCCCTGGCCATGGATGAAAACAGGACCATACTGATGGTGCCTCCTCTCCAGCCCAGCCCAGCTCCCTCAGTGACACCAGCCCCAAAGGGACACCAGTTCCCTGGGGATTCTGCCAAGTTCAAATTCCCCCGCTCAGCTCCTGGTCCTGTGCCTGTGTCACCTGTCACCTCATCCTTTCCTCCATAAACCACCTTACCTGCACATACCACTTGCCCTTCAGGCAGATGTCGCCCTAGTACATATTTTGAGGACACAGATTAATTTATCCTCAAAGAAAATTGGTAGAAATGAACAAATCAATTGGAGGAGATGCAGCACAGACACTTGGCTGGGTTTGGACTTATTAACAGAGACTGCAAAAGTTCTGGACTGTTGAGTTGCAGCAGGCTGAGGTTTGGACAAACACCTTCCCCAGTGCCTTTACTCATCATTTACAGAATAAGGAACCTTCAGCACAATCTCACCATTTCTGGAAGTCTGTGTTCCAATCACTGGAAGCAGGCAGGATCTCTTCCTTCACAAAGATGTTGTACAGCTGACACCAACATCAGTCAGCAACACCAGAACATAAAGGGAATTGGTTCCTTAAGATGGTGCAGATATCTTGAGCCCAAATTCACTGTGTTGTAACCCTTTACTATTTAATCTTTAATAATTGCCTCAGACACTTATTTCTAAATACTTATGAAGCAAGGCTAAATGGACATAAAAGGAGGGGGGGAATAAAAATCTGGTTATTTCATATACCAAGGGGCACAGTGACTAAAGCCAAACCCAGCAAGTCCCAAGCACAGTCCACTCACCTTTCATTAGAAAAGGGAGGTTAGGACACTTGGTACTGTACAAAACCAAGCACTGAATGTCCAGACATGACTCAAGGCCTATTACAAAAGAGCCTTGTGATAACTTTCACCACAATGACCTGGCTTACAGTGATTTCACCGTGTGATAACACTCAGTTCACTGAAATCATAATTAAAAACAAAAGAAAAAAGCCTCTTTAGATTGATTTTGCAATAGTAGTGCAACAAGAAGCCAATCAAATCATGTAAGAGTTTTATTTTAATCACAGAACTAAAAAGGCTAATATTTTATTAACATAAGGTTGCAAATTAAAAAACAAATTCCAGAACTCCTCAACAGTCTCCACTGTAGAAATGTAAAAGACTTGTGCTTTGAACATCAGCGTAACACACTGCAGGGCTGAGTCCTCCGCCCCTGCCCCCTCCTCTTACCTTCCAAGGGGAAAACACCTCACTGACATCCTCAATCTGCAACTTCAAAGGACTATTCTAAAGCAGAGACTCAACACAGTCATTGTCAGACCCAACACTCTGTGTGTCACACAAACAGAGAACAACTTTAAATGAGAAATATTCAGGAATTGATAACTGGCCACCAAAACTGCAGATTTCATGTTTTACAGCACCGTAGTTGAACACAAGTATTTGAGAAACCAGATCGAATGTTCACAAGTGCATCTCTTCCAAATTTTTGTACCCTGTTTATTTTCTTTAAAAATCATCTCTAGCAGTCCAATACTGCCTAGAACACATCTAAGCACACTTTCCATAGATCTAAAAGTCTTAACTCCACCTTGGAAACGATCCTATGCCTCAAGCTCTCACCATGGGATGGAGTCTAGAGTTAGAGGAAATTTAAATGAAATTAAATTAATTTAAACTGGAAGTTCCAAATATTTTACTTCCCACAGGGATGTCTTTCTTGGAAATCCAAATATTTCTATCAAAACACTGACCTGAAAGAGCAAAGTCAGGAACAGGGATGAGCACCTATGATCAGTGGTTCCCTTCGACTATGACCTGAAATTGGTTTTGTTTGCAATGATGTTTAAAAGCATAACTAAGCTCATTTTGTCTCTAGAAAGTTGAAAATAAAAATGAAATCTACTGAGACATGGAGGCAGAGGCTGTAACTGCCTCACTTTCACATTTGGAGAGATGAAGAGCAGATTCTTCTGTAAACACATGATTCAGTACCATTGTGTGACCCACGTCTGAAGGACAAGCTCATCACAACTTCCAACAGCCCCAGAAAGTGGCCTTGGCTTGGCAGCACTCAAAGGCTTAGACCTGGTTTAGAGAACCAAGGTACAGACTGTTTCTTCAGCCAAGTTCTGCCAGAACTTGAATACAATTTGGTTTTCACATCTAGCAAAAAAAAAAAGTGATTTATGAGGTTATTGCAGGGGATATTTTGGCAGAGAAAGCAGGCACATGTCTGTTGTTTAAAAACAAAAAAAAAGCCAAATAACTTCACTGGTTTGGTTTAGAGAATTGGCCTGGACTGCACAGAAGGCAGTTTAACACAGACAGGGAGTGGGGGGAAGGACAGAAATAACACACCAGGGGACACAAGGAATCTGCAACCACCTTCACTTGTTTCTGTCTAAGAAATTGTACCGGGAGAGAAACTTCAGAAAATGATTGGTACAATCCACTGCACTGCAAAGATCTCCCCTGGCCCAGCTCAGGAGAAGGATGCATGACTTGGATATTATAAATCCCATCTTTGTAATCCACTGGGTTCACAAGCTGTGAGCAAAGACTCACCAAATCCAAAAGGAAAAACCAGGACATTTTTGCTGTAAGCTTCAACTGGTCACAGTGGATTAGAGGGAATCCTTCAGGCAGCTGCCATGGAAAATCCTGGCCACCTGGTGGGTACCAGTCGCAGGCACACGGACAAACCCCCCAAATGAAGACAAGCATCTCGTTTTCAAGTTGATTTTTGTAAATGGAAAAAAAATGTATAAAATCTATCCATACATGAACAGATACAGGAAGTTACACAATCCAATTTACAACTATAGTCATAGCAATCAGTCCAGAATAAGAACAAGGAAAAATTCCAATGCTGTCGTTTGTCCCAAGTCACTACAGGGCAGATGATTGGCTGCTTCTTCTTGGTGCATGGATAAAACTGGCTACACCTTCCCTACTTCCACAGCAATGAGACAATTTCAACAGACACGTATTAAAATTGTTTTGAAATGCATCTGACTCTAACAATAACACTGAATATTCAAGGATTCATATCATTACAGCATAATGTTTGCCTCCAGGAAAAGGGGGCAGTAGATATTATCAAAGAGAAACCCTGCAACCATCTTAGAATTTACAGCATTGAGTTAAGGATTTTTATTTTATGATTTATATCCATCCTGGAACACTTAAAATTTGCGTGTCCTCAGCTCAGACATTTACAACGCATGCGGAGACTGTTACTACTCAAGGAACATGGATGGGGTCATGGAAAAAGCACTGGTGGGCATTTGGTCTAATTTTAGTGAACTCATGTCCACCATGACATGCAAGTCACATCTGGCAGCAGTTTTCCCCTCACGCCTCCATTTATTGGAGACCCCAGAAGACAAGGCTTGAAGGAATGGACAGGGGAGCTCAGGTACCATTTTAAGCAATAGAACAAAACTCCAAGCAGGGGCCAGCCTGTGGGAATGCTGCCCTGCTACTGCTGTACCTGTGGGAGAACAGTGTCAGCCCAGGGCTCAGAAAAGATTCCTGACTGAGTTTTTAAGGAAAAGGGAGGCACCTTAAATCCTGGAAAGTCAGATTTCCTGTGTTTGACAGGTGTACTGAATATACACACATAATGCAAGAAGGAAGCTGTGCTCATCCACCCAGAAGGCTGCACCATTTTTCTGAGCACAGAGAATATACTACCTCTTTCAACAAAACAACAGCAATAATAATAAAGCAGAAGTGGAGAATCCAGACTGTTGGGTGGTCTGTGTTTAAAAACATAAGAAAAAAAAAAAAGCTTATGCTGTAAAGACAACAATTCCCTTTCAAAGCAAAGGCCACATAAAACTGTGTTGCTCAGTTTGGTTTTTACTTCATGCCACCTGTAAACACAAGACTGGATATTCAGTTTCTGGGAAGAAATGAAACCACTTTTAAATCCAGAGTAAAAGAAATGCCCTCCACTGCTGGGATCACAGGTTACCCACGAAAAGGTAGCTGGGAGAAGGCTTCCTCTTCTCGTTTGTTCACTTCATTGAAAGGTTCTATCTGAACAACTGAGCTTTCAATAAAAGCACAAAACATTTCCTGATGTTATTTATGCCCTCTGTCTCTTAAGTTTGCCATGGGGACTAACACTTTCCATTCCTCACCAACAGATACATCACCTTTTTGGCACCATGGGTGGAATTTCTTCCTAATGTATAATTTTTGCCCTATACAAAAGTCGATTGTCTAATCATGCAAATCCAACAGAACTCCAAAAAGTGCCACAAGACAGTTCAACTCTTTGCAAAGTACTACCTAGTTTGTACACTGCCATAGGAACCTCCCAGAGAACACACTGCCGTCCTTATTTAGAGCTGATGGCGTATTTCATATTTGGCATTTCAACCTCTCTTTCTGGGGGAGGGAATCGAAATCCATACCCTGATTCCACTGATTTTTCCCTCTCAGAGCTCTGAAATGCATGAAATTTTTTTGATTTGTTGAAGACATCTTCACTGAACAGCCTGATTAGAGAAAAACATACTGATTCAATCAAATAGAAAATAAAGACAAAAACAGGTAGTGGTAGATTTCTCTATCTTTTCTCCTGTCCTTTGAGACGAGGGTAGAGTTTCACTGCTACTGCATTTTCCCCAGCTGGATCTTCTTCCAGGCCTCTGATGCTGTGAAAATGCAGGAGTCAAGGATCCCAGCTACAGTAAATGTTCCTCCAATGATGGCACATATCTGAAATTACAGAGTAAACACGTTTGTCAGTGATGAGGGAAATTTTTACTCTACTGCTGGGGTATTTTCTAGAAGCACAGTAAGAACTAGGTAACAGTACTGGGGATGGAATTACATGGAAAATCATTCAGAAAAACCATTCCCTACAGTGGAATAAATGAGTGCTATCCTGAACTCACCACAGCCTGAGCCATTCCTAAATCCCAGCTCCTATAGCCGAATTCTGTTCCTTTCCGGGCTAAACTCCACCCAACTCAGCTTTCTAGAAGCTCTGTGTTGTTCATATCTTCCTATTACTGTTTTCTACTATAAATACCACAGCCTGATAGTCTTTTCCCTATTTTACAAGATTCAGCATTTGCAAACAGGCAAAAGACACTTAAATAGCACGTGAAGGGCAGTGACTAACAGAGAAACCCAGCTCCCAGGGACACCCACAGCTCAGCTGTCTAACACTTTCCGTGACAAAGGCTGCTCACAGAAGCCAATTTAACTCTTTGTGGGCCAAAGTTTTCCACACAAGGTGTCTTGGGTTGAATTATTTAAACACCAGTAAAAACGAAAAAATCATTTTTCAAGAATAGAGTTAGGGAAAAAATTAATCTCTTGATTAGCATAGCAGCCCACTTCACTTCTTAAGTGCTAGAAATATTCTGACATATCAAATCAAAGGTACCATGTCTTCAAGCATCAAAAATCAGGGGGCAGCAGTGATAGACTTTGCAAAACATTGCTTCAATTCCCTTATCTATGAAATGGGGACAATGCCAAATCTGCCTCCCAGGGAAACTGAAGGAAAACACATCTGAAGGGTTCAATAGTGGTCTCAGTCTCTGTGGAAAAAGAATCCCAGAATCATTTAGGTTGGAAAAGACCAACAACACAAAATACTTCCCTAACACCCTGCTACACTGGCTCACTGGTTTGGGATTCCTCTCTCTCTCTTGGCTTCTAGCTCATGGCAAAATCCCCATTTTTTCCTAGGCAGGTCCCTGTCAGGAGATAAGCTCCATATCTTGTGTCCTTCCCTCAACCCCATGTTGTTATTCTCAGAACCACCTAATCCTACACGATGTACAGGACCAAATTAAAAGAGCATCACAGTTACGAAGTAAAATATGTGGGAGTTAAGAAATGCCAAGTCCTGTGTAATCAGAACTTGGCTGTTAACATTATTAGGTTATCTTATTGTGTATCATACTCTCCATGTGAACATTGCCTAGTGCAGTGCCTGGGGTGGGGTGGCACCCTGGGAGTTTTTTCCCATCCTGTGGTATTTGACTGCTGCCTCCTCAGGAGCGGGTGGTTTGTACTAACTCAGTATTCAGTGTAAATCATATGCTTGTGTGTCAAAAATAAGGTGGCCAGCAGGACCAGGGCAGTGATTGTCCCTCTGTGCTGGGCACTGCTGAGGCACCTCGAGTGCTGGGTCCAGTTCTGGGCCCCTCATGACAAAAAAGACATTGAGGGGCTGGAGAGTGTCCAGGGAAGGGCAGTGGAGCTGCGGAAGGGTCTGGAGAGTCAGTTCTGTGAGGAGCAGCTGAGGGAGCTGGGGGTGCTCAGCCTGGAGAGAAGGAGGCTCAGGAGGACCTTCTGGCTCTCTACAACTCCCTGACAGGAGAGTGAAGCCAGGTGGGGGTCAGGCTCTGCTCCCAGGGAACAAGGGACAGGACAAGGGGAAATGGCCACAAGCTGTGCCAGGGGAAGTTCAGGTTGGAGATCAGGAAGAATTTCTTCACTGAAAGTGCTGTCAGGCATTGGAAGGGGCTGCCCAGGGAGGTGGTGGAGTCCCCATCCCTGGGGGTGTCCAAGGAACAACTGGTTGGTTGACAAGGTGGGGATCGGGCACAGGTTGGACTTGATGATCTTGGAGGTCTTTTCCAGCCTGATTCTGGGATTCTGTGATATATGTATTACAAAAATGCAACACAACTGGCACAGAAGGCAACCAATGCCACACGACACGTTCCTTGCCACGTCTCTTCTCCCACACAGCACTATCTCCCATGGGCAAAATAACAGACCAAAAAAGAAAGTAAGAGCAGCAGCAGCTCAGCAGGGATTCACAGTGGCAAAGGAACAAACAATTCATTAACAGTGAGTGAAGGCAGCAAGAACTAAAGCTCATTTCCATGAGTATTTATAACCGAGATATGAGCATTTAGTGAGGTCAGTGAGACGAGGAGGATATATGGTTTTAGCAGGACACCTGGCATTCCAGCAGAACAAGGCTTCTAAAACCAGAGTACCAGCCTGAGGCAAAGTTAGTAATTTTAGGGGACAAGTCCAGCTCCTACCCCTGTGCACCCCTCCTCGCTGTCCCTCAGAGCATGACACAGGGTGACTTTTCAAGGAAAACGACCACCACAGAGTTGGGTTATTTCAGTCCAGAACAGCTCAGCTGACAGGAGATGTCACACCACAAACACAAAACCCGTCCAACATGAAGATTTTGCATCATATGGTAGGAAAATGTGATTTCAGTGCAGCAGTGTAAGGGGGTGGGGAATAGAAAAAAAATAAAATTCATCTGCACAGCTCAGCTGTAGCGCTGAGTGTGAGTCACACACACCTGGCATCGCCTGGGGCCTGACCCCAACACAAACAGCCTTGAGTACTTGTGAATAAAGAAAGGCAGCACCAGCACTGGGCTCTAGGTCAGCACAGAAGCTGCACCACAGTGTTCCTTTACCATCACAGTTCTAACACATATGGAAGGCAGGCATCAGGTATTTATTTATAGCTAATGTGGTTTTATGCCAGGAATGATCTGTGTTTGGCTCCATGAGGTTACAGTTTGAGTCAGGCCCAACCTGACTCAAACTCAACTTCATCCCATTAAGGGATGAAGGAAAAGAAACACAGAAGTGGAATAATTCCAGCTGTTAGAGGTCATGAAACATGGGGAATGCACAGGGGTCTGGAACAGAAGGTTATTGCAGGAGAGCAGCCGGGATGCAGGCTGAGGCCTAAAGGAAAACATGAGTGGATATGTAGGAGGCAAGGTTGCAAGCAAAGTGACAGAAAGACAAGTGTCAGACACATGACTGTGGCACCTCTGAGACGTCCTGAAGTGTGAAAATGACTTTTAAGGACAGAGGGGACCAGTAGGACCCTTAGGTAATTCCTAGTATGGCAAGCTGCAGAATCCCACACAAAGATTTCTGGCTGACCTGCAGCACATCTTGCAGAATAACGCTGTCTTGTTTTTAAAAACACCACTGGGCCGAACCTGATACCTGCCAGTAACAGCTCCCATGGCTGAAATTATTCTGCCTGCAACCATTCCATTCCAGCTCCTCCATCCCATTATTTTCAGTTTAATTTTCTCACACCTCGAGACCAGATGAGTCCTCTCATACCAGGAAAAAAAAATTTCTTTGGATTTTGAATGCTTCAGCAGAACTTTGGCTGCTTTTCTGCCTGCTCTCCCCTCTCAGCCCCTAGACTGACCTCATGATAAAACCTTCTTTCAGTTTGGCCACTTACAGGAACTCATAAATTTTCAGCAGTGAAACTTTCCCCCTTGCTCCATAACCTCAGCCATGAGGTCTTGAATGGCTTCTCTTTATGAGGAGGTGCCTTGATTTTAAGCAGCACAGTTTAACAGGCAAAACCAACTGCGTTTAACATTGCCACGTTTCTGTGGTTAAACCCAGGATCCCTGGAAAACTCACAGAACAGTGACAGAGGCAGCACTGACCCACAAGTAACATAAAATCTTACTTAGTACTGAACTTTTTGGAGTACAACATATAAAGTAAAATTTATGCTAAACCAAAGCCTTTTGTCCTGCACAGGAAGCACCTCTCACATCGTACAGAAAATGAGGATAATTTTTCATACCACAAAAAAATCTGAGGAGCAGGCATGAGTTAGAGTGGGAACAGAGATGATCTGGGAGTGCTGCTACAGTGCTATAATGCTGCTCTTAGCAGTATTAAAGTTTTAGAGGGCAAACTCATTAGTATCAAAGATCATCATATCAAAGATAACCTTCTCAACAGCAGGAGGAGATGCCTTTGGCTCTCTGCTGAACAGCCAACACCCCTGTCTCATCTGATCTCTCACATGGGGATCATCTCTCAACACTGTGTCCTTCCCTCTGACACCGTTTCCTCCCTAAAGTCTCTTTCAAGCTCACAGGATCATCCCCCATCCCTGGGACAAATTTAAATGTACTGAAAGCCCAAGTCGTTGCCCAAGTAAACAATCAAAGAGCCCCTATCCCAGAGCCTCCCTTGTGGTTTTTAAATTGAACAGCTGCTGCTCAGAACAAGCTGATGATTTCCATGGCCAGCCGGATTTGGGAATGACTCTGCATGCCCCAGCCCAGGCTCTGTCTGGCCCTCAGCCCAGTGCTGATCATCACTGACTGGTCTCCAGGGAAACTGTGATGCAAAAGGCCACACTGGGATACAGGAAGGGGCTAAAGCACAACGGAACAGATCATGTCATCAAAACAGGGCAAGGAAACCGAGGACAAAGGTGTTTTGATCCTCTGCTCCCCCTTCCTGCCTTTTCAATGCCACCCTGGACGCTGTACAGCCGTAAGTGTGGCACATCCACAGCCAGGGCTGCCCTCCTGTACAACATTCCTGGCCTAAATGAGAGCGAGAGCAGGTCACCTGTACCAGGGCCAGACAGACCAGACAGAGCCAGGCTACAGCACCTGGAACAAGGATCTGCCTCTGCATCAGCCCTGTCTGACGAGGTCACTGCAGCAGCCACTGCAGCACCAGCGTCATCCACAGCCTCCATGGGAAGGACGTTCAACTGGAAAGGCCCCAACTGAGCTGCTTGACACTATGGCCATTTATAAGACCAAAAAAAGTAGCCAAAAATCAACTGTAAAATTCTTCCTAAGCAGTCCAGCAGCCAGAAAGTGCCTGGCTAACCTTAAAGATAGGATAGGGCAAAATTCAGGCTTAGACCAGAGAGGAATATGGCATGTGGAGAGGACTGTTATTTTGGGGAGGAAGAGAGGAGTAACTGAAATTCATATTTTATCATAATTCCTTATTTGATGAAAACTAATCAACCTTAAAATCTTTTTGGAAATAGAAGTGAATCTATTGTTCTATTTTTAGATTCTCAATAGGAAATAAGCATTTCAGTTTTTGAGGTTATGAGATACAAATCCAAATGAGATACAAATCCAAAAGGTCATTGTGGCAACCAGGGAGGAAACCCTCTCCTGTGGACCCCTTATGTAAACTTGGAAGCATGGTATCAAATTCAACAAAGATGCTATTTATATGCACACAATGGAATATCAGCAGTGAATCAATGCTGCAATGGACATGACAAGAATCCCACCTATTAATCATTTCCAAACCCTGTTTCCCACTAAAAACACCTCCCCACCCTCACCCCCAACAAGATGTATAGGAAAGCTCTGAGAGCATATTGTCAGGGAAGGATGTAGAAGCAGTAGGAGACACCAAGTCATGAAATGCTGATATTTGTCCCTTTTTAGGATTATGTTTTGAAATCAGAGAAAGTCTTAAACCACGACGTTTAGATTCTGCTTCAAGTTCCTTTCACTTGTTATTTGTGTATCCTAGAGATCACAAGCATGTCTGAAGTTAAGTGAAAGGAACTTGCTGTTTATCAGAAGTTGTAAAATCAAAATCCTGAAGTGCAACGCAGCTACACTGTTTATGCTACTTCTAATTAAAATAGTTAAACAGTTTAAAAATCAAAATTTGAGGTCTTCATTCCAGCCAATTTATCAACTCCTTCACACTCCACCATGCCTCACTGGCACAGCACTCTGCAGCTTCAATTTTAAGCCAACTCCCCGAGGACTAATTTTTTAAAGGATCTTTAAATAGCTCTTTTCCTAACCAGCAGTTTGGACAGCACAGCTTTGTCAGAGATGCTGAGATCAGTACTGCAGGATGCTATCTGGACAGATCAAAATGTAACTCATCAGGAAAACACCTCTGGAATTTGATAATGCAGCTCTTTTCCACTTCTACCCAGAAGTAAATGCCTGGAACTGGAATTCCCATATTAAGCCAAGCAGCAGCACTGAGTAAAAAAACGGCCTTCCATTCAGTGTCTTGTAGGAGAGGAGAGATGTGGCTGGTGGTAAAATCTCTGTTGCCAGTTTTGTCTCTATTTACTGTAAAAGTCATCAAATAACCAGCAGATAGCAAGGACAGACAGCTCTGTGTCATCAAACAGTTCCCTTTCCCTCACATGAACTTTTTACTTCTTACCTCTCTAGGTAAGAAGAGGATGACTTTGGCTGGCACAGGTTGCCCAGAGAAGCTGTGGCTGCCCCATCCCTGGAAGTGTTCAAGGCCAGGTTGGACAGAGCTTGGAGCAGCCTGGTCTAGTGAAAGGTGTCTCTGCTCATGGCAGGGGGTGTAACAAGACGACCTTTAAGGTCCCTTTCAACCCCACTATTCTATGATTCTCTGCACGTTTGATCTCATCATTAGCAAACAGTTTATTGCAGCTTTACAGCACACCATGTTAGCTTTACTTCCAAGTTTCTGACATGCTGCAATAGAGCCCATTCTGCTTAGACAGAGCCTGGCACCTCTGGAACAGCATAATTTTCCCTCTTTTTGTGCCTAGCTATTCAATCAAGTTGTCAGAGCACTGGACTTACCAGTCACCTCACTTACACTTCAGTACAACTGCAGTGATGTGCTGCTTTATCTCAGTCATGTCACAATGCTCTGAAGCAGAAACTCAATTCTTCTGGGCAGGAAAGGCTCAGAAGATAAATGAAAGTCAGGCAGGAGAAAGGAGAATTAGAGGTTTAGAGTAACTCACCGATGTGATAAACCTGTACAAAGGCTGTCGCCTCTCTGTGTATTTCACTGTGATGGGGCTCAAGTCGTAACGAAACCAGATGGCTGGGATAATGCGGCCAGTGTGGCTGTAGGCTACGTACTCCTGGAAAAGAAAGAGGGGGGAAAATGGCAGAAAATGTGAGTAATCTCATCCCAGAGAGTGCCTGCAATAAAACTGCTTCTGTGGATTTGGCTCTTACTCCACGGTTTTGTACCAATCATCAGACAGAAAAATGCAAACAGTGAATTCATGTATTACTGCCCACCCCCCATCCTTAGCAAACAGGAAAACAAGCTCTTTATAGTCTGATAATGATATAGCTGGGAACAGAGTGATGGTGATTTCTCTCACCTTCATTCAAAGTTACAGAACTAAACAGAAATGCTGACTGATTCTCTAGTTTAGAGATGCTCTGTTTAAATACAAACAGCCTCTAAGTGGTTGCAGGTGAAGTTTTTGCACTGTAAATCATATGTATGTAATATATTTTGTATATATATCATATACTGGGATATTTATCAAACAAATGGAATTTAGTTTGCAAGAACCTGAAAATCCCTGCACACCTCTGTAAGGCCCCCTTCCCACTGGGACCAACAATGGGAGTGCTTTGCCCACTCAGTATGAATCATGTGGAGCCATGTTTAAACCACGTTTAAAAATCAAGCTAAAATGAAACTGTATACAGAAAATATTGGCAAAGGTTCAAAAAATATTCCACGCTGGTTCGGGAGAAACGTCTTCAGATTGCCAGTGACAATGTCCTTTAATCCATTTCTTTCCTAACAGGCATAAGGCCATCAGCCACAGGCCAGCCCCTCAGCAAGACACACTGCACAGTGCCCATACAGAACAGATATTAACACCATATTAGTATCAAAAGTCATATCTTTTTGAGATAATAATTTGGTTATGCTCTCAGTGGAAACAGATATCAGTTTTCAATGATCAGGGCATTCACGGCTCGAAGAAAAATCCAAGAAAAGCAGGCTGGGGACTCAGCAATCCAAGGAGAGCCATCAGCACCAGCATGGCATACGATGCCTCTCTATCTTCCCTTTTCTAGCCCTGTGACATGCTGCCAACTCAGATCACCTCTTCTCTTTCAATTGTCCTCTACACAGAGGCAAGTACTTCAAAAAGATGAAGAAAAGACAAGCAATAGGACACACATGAGCATGATACAAAAAATACAATTTTGCTCTCTGTGAGCTCTGAGGGAGCTAATGAAACAGCATTTATCTTCATTAATCTTATATAAATCCCAAATTTCCCACTATTGAGTTTTTTTCCCATGGATGACAAGAGAAGAAGCCCCTAGTTGTAATATTTTCAGGGCTCTTATTGGAGTTCTGCAGCACATCTTGGGACTGTGGTTATCTGGGGAAGTGAGGAAACAGAGGGTGTAGGAGGTAAGAGAGGAGACACAGCCTACACTTAAGACCCTCTTCATCTCTTTATACTTATCACTCTGTGCCAGACTATTGCAATGGCTTCCCATTTCTCTTTCCCACTGATCAGTCTGGGAGTAAAGGACTAAAGCACCAAAAGAAGAAAATGCAGATGCAGCACTGTTTCTCTGCACTTCAGTTTTGACAGAACTGACCTCATTTTTTCCTTCCTCTCCCCTTTTCCCCACAGCAATCCTGCCCTAATGAGTCAGTCTTGGCTGAACGCCCCCATTTGCAGCCAAGCTCACAGAAGTGTCAAAAGCTCCTCCTGTCTATTTTCCAGAGTGCTTTCAGAACTTCTATCGCAAGAGTCTTATCAGAACAGCAGTTGTGACATTAAGCAGAACAAATACATTGTAATCTGAACACAGGGAGATGTCCAAACCCCTGGGACACACCATACAGGCAAGCCCAAAAGTCACTAGACGGGAACATAAATCTGAGAACTAGTCCAGGAGAGTGTGTGCTTGATTATCAGCTGGGGCAAACTAGCAGTAGGTAGATATTATTAACAGATTCTGGATTTTCATTTAGCATGCAACTGGCAAATAATTTTAAACTGAAAGATGTTTTTCACCTTAAAAAGTAGGGTCTTTTTTTTTTTTCCCTTTAAAAAAAAAATGTCAATACATTGTATTACTAAAATGCTGGGCATGGCACTCAGTGCTCTGGTCTGGCTGACAAGGTGGGTCACAGGTTGGACTCAACAATCTTGAAGCTCTTTTCCAACCTATATGATTCTGTGATAATCCACCATAACAAAGCAGGTACTGTGAAAGAGTCAACCAGTATATATTTGTTGCTACAGGTTCAGTGGCTTAATGTCTGAAATCAACATTTCTAAAAAGCTAAAAACGTGGCTAATTTATGTTGTCTGATACACCCATCAAAAATGAGATTGTTTTATAACTGAAACCAGGTGTAAGTGATGTTTTTTATCTTCAGCTGGGTTACAGTTTCCATTCAGATGCATCTTCACACAAACAACAAAAGCTCCTGCAGCAAGTGAAAACCTCCCATAAATCTAGATCAGTTAAACTGACAGATGAGAACGTCAGGAGGAAGAATACCTTTCTCAGGAATGAAAACAATATCATCATCTGCTTTGACAAGCCCTCTCAACCCCAATCCTGGTAAATGCCAGCACCAGGAGCACCAGGAAGCCCCACTCCGAAGAGCTTCAGTTCCTCCTTCTCCCAGCAGAGGCTACTGCTCCCCTACAAACACGTGTACATGGCACAGCACAGAGCAGGGGGGGAAGAATGGTGACTGAACATCCTCCACACATCCACTGGGCTGCAACGAGGAGCCTCCTTGAGAACTACCTGCCTCTTTACCTTGTTTGCCACTGTGTATTGGTAGGAGTATCGCTGCTTCCCGCTCATGTCTTCGTACACCGTCGGGACTATCTTCAGTATATAATCGTGAGATGCAAGGGCTGTGGTCAAGAAAGGAAAGTACACATTAGCATTCAGAGAAAGGAATCACAGCCTACACAACATTTCAAAGCAAAGGAAGTCACAAAAAAGGTACCTCCCTCCTCCTTATCGCAAGTTCTGTGCCAAAGCGACAATTTCACGTCCTACATTTATGTCCTTTGTACAGAACTTTGCCAGGTAGTTGGATGACACCAGAACTCACCCACCACTTCTGTAGGATCACAACCCATGGGGGTTTGGGTTACCTGAACCTTCCTAACTGCTTGCAACTATAAATGGTAACACTTATCACCACCACAAAAGCCTGGTTAAATCAGGAACCAGCTCAGGTTAGAGCTGCAGCTCACTGAGCTCCTTTTGACAGAAGCAGCTGAGGCATCACAACCTGTGATTTCTTGTGCACCCATCTTTCTTTCTCTTCTTCCTTCTCCTACAGCTGCTTACCTTTTTTTTAAAAATTATTTAAATGGCTTGTGTCATTTTTTGTGTCTGCTAAAACAGTTCTAAAACAGAATTCTACCTTACTTCTCTGCAGGATCCTTTAGCCAAGCGTAACATGACATTTGGCTCCTGGAGTAAAAAAAAACCCAAACCACAATTGTATATCTTCAGGAACAGCCACAGAAGTTTTGTTCCAAGAAATGGACAGGACTGATGTCCTGCAGGAGCCTGAACACTTGAGAGAAAAATCTATGCTGAATTGTAGCCTGCACTGGAAATTTCCCTTTGCGTGCTGCTCATAAAGCAGGGGAATGAAAATCCCTCTCCTTCCAGTCACAGTGTAGAACTTTAGGTAGGAGCTAACCTGTGACACAAGAATAAGAGTAAGTTCTGGTGGTGGGGGAACGATAGGAATAGAACATGGATAAAAAACTGCCTAGTTCTGAGTCAGTTTTAACAGAGCTGGAAACAACGTCCAGTTTGCAAAAGGGCTGCAAAGGACATTTTGGGCTAAGCCTTCTCTGTAGCACTGGAGAAAATGGAAATGTCAGCCAGCAACATCTGGATCATTTTGGCTAAAGAGGCAAATGAAAGACTTCTGGATACACCAGTGTTGTGTGAATGGCCCTGTTTTCCCTCCTGCAGAGAGTGGCTAAGACCTGTAATCACCAGGAATACATACGATTTGAGCTGAGCTTGTCTGCTCCCTCCAAGGCATTGAATGCTCCGTGAACGTTATGGACCTGGAAAGCAAAAAGGCACATGAAGAAACCTGACTTGATACTCCTGATCTTTGCTTCCCTATCCTGTAACTAGATCAGCCTGATTCAACCTCTGCGAAAACAAAGCCTCAACCCAGTAAAAGATGACCTGAAATATCTTTCAGTGACCATCATCACAGAGGTTGGCTCCAAGTAAAAAAGTTGATTTCACAACACCTTACAAGATGAAACTCCAAAACCACTCCAAAGCTAAAGGAATTGCAGTTGGAAGAGGCCAGTTGTGAAATTTCATTGTGAGATTATTTCCTAAGAGCAGAGTTAACTGTGACATTAATTTATCAGGCTGAAAGAGAACTAAATGGGAGTCACATAGGCTAAAACTCAGGAGTTCTGCTGCAAAGGTAGCTCATGTCAGAGCAGTTGGGTTTGTACAGCTTGCACTCATCAGGCCAGTTGTCACACTGTGCCCTTGGAGATGGGAAGGACACATGCCATCACTGCCATCCCTTCAACTTTTCCTGCAGCTGATCGCAGGCATGCAAGTATCTGTTTGCCCAGAATAACAGGATTTCCATCCCATGCCTTGCACATACTGTGATCTGCAGTCTGATGTCCACCAACAGAATAATCAATCTGTGAACACTCCAGACAGGGAAATCCCCCAGCAAGAGCTGTAGGTTCAGACATTGTGTCACTCACACAATGTACATTAAGCTACACAGAAAGGACAAATAACTCCACAGCCTAGAAATTCCTGACCAAAAGTCAGACAACAGGGAAGAAGAGTTTGGAGTAAGTATTTGGTCATGGGTATGACAGGGTTTCACCTCACCAACAGGGCAGTGCAATCTCCTCCCCAGACCCTCTCAAACTGGCAGCACGTGGATGTATTTGTCTCATCCCAAAGGCCATTTCCCTAAACACTATGGAGTGGATTATGATTTGGAGGAAGCAGCAACTGAACCAGTTTTGCTCAGTAGAAAGGAAGTTCTAGAGAGACAAAATCATCACCAAGTTCACGTGGAAAGTGCTGGTAACAGGAGCAGAGCAAGAGCAACAGCCAAACCTGCTGCAGTGCCTTTCACCACATTTCAGATATTTTACACAGCAGCAACCATTTCCAAACTACATGTGCAGGCTGTACTTATTCTTTACTCATTGTAATAGGCATATGAAAAAAGAGAAGCCCCTTCTTCAGTGTTATGTTCTGTTCTTGATACAGGTAGGAAGTCTCTCACAGCATATCTGAGCCAGAGACTTTAAGGTCCACTTCAAACTTCCTCATGTAGATTTTTCCCTCATGCAGATGAGACCAAAATTCAAACCAATGAATTCTTGTATGACAGGTAACCCAGTAAAGCCAGATGTGGAAAGTAAGAAATTGTGCCTTTTAAATCATAATTTCTCTTGAGTACTAGATCATGGTGTTGAATAATCCTGGTTTTAACCTTGTGAGGGGTCTTGTGTTCCCTTGATAGGTCAAGGTTGGAAGTTATTTTAGCCTGTTCTTCGTCTCTGCCTGAGTTATATGTCTTTGCATGTGCTTGTAGATGTTAAAGCATAGGGTATCCAAGGTCCTGGCAAGCATCTTTTTGAGACCCATGTTATAGAAGAATTAAGTGTTGACATACAACATATGTGGACATATAATTTGGGCGGAGACCAACAGCAGGCTAAAATAACTTCCAACCTTGCAACTATTATGGGAAGACACCTCACAAGGTTAAAACCACGATTATTCAACACCATGATCCAGCAATTCAGAGAAATCTACAATTAAAAATGCATAATCTCCTACTTCCCACATCTCTTTCTTTAGTGGGTTACCTGACATGCAAGAACTTCATCCTTGAAATTCATCCTTGAATTTCAGTCTCATCTCAATGAGGGAAAAAAAATCTACAAAAAGTCTGCCACTGTTGTGCATGAAGTACTGATGAAGACTTGAAGCTTCATCAGTAGATGATGAGATTCAAATCTGTGTTTCAAACAGACTGGTTTTTCTGGAGAACACAACCTGTACCTTAGTGGATCATTTTGGCAGGGTCAGTAACAACTTACAAAGAACTAACTCCCAGCACATGACACAAGTGAATGAGAAGCTTCTCACCCTCTTTAAGAAATATAAGCATGTATTACATCAAAGCGGGTGGAGACAACCCAAAATTTTCAAAGGTGCATCCAGACAGGTTTAAAGCTCTCCATACTTGCTGGCTCCAAGTGCTTGCTGAGTCTTGGTAGCCCCTGTTTAGAGAACATATCCTCCTTTAATTTGTGCTGTTGAACTCCTGTTTGCCTACAGGATCAGCAGCACCTACGTGCTCCCTTCTTGTGTATGGAGACGATGAGTAGTTATTTTGAACTCTGAAAATACTACTCTGAACTTGTCCAAATCAGGAGCCAACTACCTGTTTGCTAGACAGGTTTCTCACCATCAGAACTGAAGACACTTGCTCCTTTGCCCCCAAGTGTCCAGGCTCCTCCTTCATGCTGATTCACACTTCAGCTCCCTTACTCCAAGACTCCATGATAAAACAATGGGAATGCTACCTCAGAGCACTGACTTCCCACGCAAAATGCAGAACTCCCTATTAGCACTTACCTAATATTTTTCATAATCTCAGTGTGCTTTACAGACATTAAGCCAAGCTTATTTATATGCTAATATTTCACCGTTCCCACACAAGATATTTCCTAAAAGAAGCCGGGAGCAGAATCAGAAGACTACAAAGCAACGCTTAGACTTGTTAGCATGAAAAAGGGTTTTGGAAGTGGGTGTACAAGAAGCAGACTAATGAGACGTCTGTGCTGAGGAAGGAAGATTACAGAGAGACTATGGGTAAGCAATGTTTAGGGTGAGTCGCAAACTGGGTGTGCACATGCATAACTCCCACCTGTGATGCCAGCTCCTTGGAAGTAGGCTAGAGAAGTGCTGTAATCTGCCTTTATTGAGAAATCAGGTATTATTACATAACTTGCAACACCTGGTGAAATTCTATCCACTGGGCAAGTGCACACAATCAGCTTCTTCCCAGCAGGGAATTGGCAGTTCCAAGTTTAACTTGTGTTTCATAGAACAAATTTGACTAATAGGTGTCTGCTATACAAGTACAGTGAAGTGAATTAAAAAGAACTTGTCTGGTGCTTTGGTAAAGACAGTAGCAAGCACACATCTTCCCTGAGTACACTCACTGCTCCTCCACAAAGGAAGAAAGGTTTGTTTGCTGTGTTAATACTGAAAACGGGATTTTGCTGAGCCATGAATCCTCATTCCTACTCCCTGCAGGAAGACAGCCACACAGTTTTCCAAAAGCACTTTCAGTTTCAGAAGAAAAGAGCAAAGTTACTCTATGACTGGACACTGCTCCTCCCTGAAGTGGTGGCAGGGAACCAGCTGTGAACCCTTCCAGATGTTGCATGGACACAAGTGATGGGCTTGCTGACCCAGGCAGTCCTTTCTTAGGGCCTCCCCACACTGTACATGGCCCTTCCATAAAATCCAAAGTGTCTAATGTTAAACCCTTCTCATAGCATTCCCCTGCAGCCAGGGAATTTTCAGGGACGAGAACTCACCTGTAACTTGTCCCCAAAGGAGAGCTTGTGGATGACGTGAGTCATGTCGGGGTTCTGGGGCTGTGCAGTGGCGCTGTGCGTCGACACGTGAAAGTTACCGGGGACCTGGAATTAGTCAGGACAGGGAAGACAGGATTTCACATTTTACCCCTCAAGGCATTGCTCGGCTCTGTGATATGACATGGAAGCGCCTGGATCCATCCAGGCTGTACCTACTGAGCAGTGGACAACCTCTGGCACGTCAGAGAAAGGCTCTGGGATACCCCCCTGCACTTGATCAACACTTGGATCAGATACATCCCACAGCCCAAGAGTTTGGCACCCTCACGGTGCTAGCACTGCTGATTAGGAGCTGATGAGTGGATCACTCCCAACTTCAGGGATTCCCAACACTTAAGGCTATGTCTTTCATCCTATTAAAATAAAATTCCTGTCTCTGACAGACAACAAACAGTTGCTTAATGTTTTACTCCCACATCTTGCATTTGTTAATGCGCCCCAATGCTGCAGAACAGCCCAGAAAGCTGTGGATATATTCTTCTTTCAGTACTGGTCATGAGCAACTCTACATTTGAGATTGTGCCTAAGAATGAGTTTTAGATAAAAAGAGGGAAAACCCACCAAACTCAAGGGGCCTTCCCATACAAGCTAATCTAGATCTTCTGTTTCTAGCCCTGGCAGGAGACAGCAGGAGTCTTAATTTTTTAATCTTAAGTTTTTAAAGGGAGGTAAATACAAAGTTCTGCAAAATACAAATTTCATTTAAGGACTCAGTTCCAAGACAGAAAGTGAGCACTGGTGTCATTCTGATGGGACCACTCCAGCATACACACAGTTTTCAGGTCACCAGCCCTGTTCTGTGAAGTCTTTCAGCAGATACAGCTCAGTCACTGTTATGGAGGGTGCAAGAATATTTTTCTATTGAGAAAAGGTTGTGAAATGAAGCAACACTGAGAAGCAATGTGGCATGGCCTAAGACAAGAGTGGGAGGATGGTTATACAACTGGTGCCCACGGTGCTCTCTGCAGAGAGCACCAGCAGGGCCACGGGAGGCCACATGCTGGTTCCATGTGCTTTCAGGAAAGCTAATTTAATGACTTGAGGAACAGCAGTGCACTCCTGGGAACACTTTCAGGTGTGGACACCAGCTGTGTCATAAATAAGCTCAGTAAACAGGGCGGCAGACTCTGCGGTAAGAGGCACACAATCATCTCACTGTCACCTTGTCCTCCTGCCTCAGGTTCGAGAATAACACCCAAGTGCAACCCTCGGTCAAGTTTCAAAGCCTGGCCAGGTCCCACTCCAGGTCCCAGCTCACACAGAAGCCTGTACAATTCCTGCCAAGGTAATGCAGACCTCCAAGTCATACACAAGAGGTTCAGGTTGCCTGAGCCAGAAGTCCTGGATCAGGTCCCCTCCTCTGACAGCTGTCTCAGCCACTATATGAGACACAAATTAAGCACTGAAGGAAGCTCCTCACTGCCATATAGATCACCCCCCTTCTGAGCTGCTTTGGTGAGCAGGACACACGACATCTAGCAGACAAATCCCCCAGCTCCATGCTTCGGGAATTATCTGAACAAGAACTACCTTGCAAGAAGCTCTTTCCCAGTTTTGTGGACTATCAGCTGCCAGCAATCTTGGTGGCTTAGAGGTGAGGAACCAAACGTCCTCTTTTTAAGTCCCTAATCCTTTCCATGCCACAGAATCAGTAAGAGGTTCTGCCTGTTATTTTTAGATATGATTGAACATGACCTGGGAGGAAAAGAAGGAAGTTGGATTTTGTAGCCTGTGGTACATGGAGAGGAGTGAATAAAGGGTGTGCCCTTCTTAGGACATCAGTGGGTCCCAGCACTGCCTCCCCCACCCCAGCTAGTCATCTCCAGCATTACATAGCAAGATTATTCAATCCTGAACACACCCATCCCAGAGAGGAGCCTCCTCCAGGCCTGGATTTTCATTCTTTGAGACAGAAGCGGAGCATCCCGGCAAAGCATGCGCAGAGGCCTCGTGCTGTATTCCAAACATCCCAGCACGGAGCCGCTTCTGTTCCGCTGGCACCCTCTAGTAGGGAACATTCCTGTCATTCTGCGGCTCTCAGAACAAAAGAGGGCTTGGATAGACATTGCCAAAGACCTCTCCACAGTGAGTCACATTCTGGAGGTGCAGAAGTTATGACAAGTAAACATAGAAGCCACTTGGCGTTTGTAGGGAGCGCACACACAGCCTAAACATTAGGCTGCTGCACTGAAGGGCAGCACTGGCTGCAACACAGAGCTGCTCTCTGCTGTTCAGCAATTCTATCTCGATTATCTGTCTTGGAGAGTAGAGAAAACCCCTGATCTAACACATTCCCTGTGAGTCTGGCCATGCAGCCTCCTCTCCCCACACCATCTGCAGCACCAAGACTTAACCTTCCCCCTGATCAGGAATATGAACATACACACTGCAGGAGAGGCACTGACACACAGATTTTCAAGAGCATTTTACAAATGGATCTTGCCAGCATTTCCCCCATCCCCACACACTCACCCACTGTCATTCCTACTCACCTTGTTGATGCTGAAATGGCCCTCAAACCTGCAGCCATCCCCGTTATTGAGAGGGATCTTCATTGAGTTGTCAATATGACCCACTTCGTGCCTTCCCATTTCATCTTGGATGTCTAGTCCAACCACTGCACGAGTGGGAAGGGAGAAGACAAAAAAATCAAAACAAAAGACCAGGAAAGTTGCATAGGAAAAGCATACGTTGCTTTTACTGGGAAAAAATCCACATCTCTTTTGTTGACATCTCAAATATTGTTATACCTGAAAGAACCTTGTCACTAAACTTTTCACACTGCCTATCTGACACAAACATACCTCCCATGTCCTGCCAGCTGACTGCAATCTCAATTACACAAACAGAAAAACTCTAGGTAGACAAGCGGGTGATTTGGGAAAAACCAACAATCAGCTGGTGCATTCAGTTATGAATGAAACTTGGGAGTTTTCTTGCTCCCAGACACAAAAAGGTTGCTATAAAAAAAAAGGAAATGAGATTTAGAAAGAAGCCAGTGAGGGAGAGCAGCCACTAACACAGGCTGCAGAGTGAGCACAAGGTCCAAGAAAACAAGTGTCCTGGCCTGGAACAGAAAGCAATGGGATATTGGCAAAGGCTGCAGCTACTTGATCTCCATCCACCCTGTTACAGAAGAAGGGCCACTGTACCAGTCTGGGCTCATTTGAAGTATTACTTAAAACACAAAGGAAAACTGCTAAGTGAGAAGGGGTACTCACATTCACAATGCAGGTTTGGCAAACTGATGTTCAAATTCACTTCTATTTTACCTCCACTGTCTTTGTCTGGGTCATCCACATAGAGCTCATTAACTCTGGAGGGCAGAAAACACAGGTGGGTTTAGGCACACATTTCCACAGGGAAAGAACCAACAATTTGCATGGGGAGGGAAAAAAGGAGACTTGGAAGCCAGGGGTTGACTGTGATGTCTACAACCAAGTTACAGAGAGCATGGAGAGCTCTCCACAATGGAATGGGGGCAAATCACTTAACTTTACCTTTTGCTTGGCAAGTGCAGGGGGCTTTAAACAAGTCTCTTGTCCCAGGAGAAAACAAAATTCCTGTGCCCTTCCCTAATCTGAACTTCCAGAAGTGATAAAAAACAAGAACCTAATGCTGAAGAGGTGGCAAGCTCATGAGCTGCCCTTCACTCTTCTGGGCTGTTACTCCTTTTAGGAAGGAGGGAAACATGTGCTTTTCCATTTGTTTCATAAATAGTTTTAGAAGAAGGCTGCCCTCTCAACCATCCCCCAGGAAAGCTTATTTGTGTCACTTTGTTATTGCCACCCAGCTGACAGAGCAGCGGCAAGAGAAGGCAGCAGGGCATAACTTGGATCTTCCTCCTTAATATCACATTTCAATCTATGAATGGTAACCAAAAGCAACAACCAAAATTGAAGAGAAGAGGATTTGAGCCAGGAACAGATGGGAAGACACATCCTGGACAGCAGGATCTAATACACTATACAACAGTCTCCCAAAGAGTAATGCTGTTTCATAGCACCCACAGTGCTGGCACGTATTTCACAAGAGACAAACTACAGACAGAGAGTAAAAGGAACACAAGAGTATAAATATTTATTGTTGGCACATACAATCCATCCGACATAAAAAATAAACCAAAAAGACCCGACGCTGAATTAGCTGAATGGTCCTAGAGAATCCACTCTGGGGAAACTCAACAAACTAAACCAAGATGCTGCTGAGATTGCCTAGCAGCTCTTTTCCCTCTAAGTCCAACACTGTTCAACGAATAAGAAGATTTGGCAATTTATCTTCCAGTCAGACAGATTATAAAGTTATTATGGGGACTTATGTTCAAGCAAGCTACATAAAATAAGCCACCTTCACTAGCAAGTGCTCTGTATTATTTTATTTCATGCCCAAAGTGTATGAAATCCTTTGACAAGCCCTTGCTGAAGAGTCTATATGCTAACAGTCAAACCAGACTAAGGCTAAGCTACAAGACAGATTCAAAGTGATTTTGCTCTGGTGATACCTCTCTGGACCACAATGAACTGTTTGCCCCGTGGATTCAGAAGAAACAAACCTTCACACTGAGAAACACACACGCTGTCAGTTTTTTCGGAGGCAATTACTCACAGGTCAGTGGGGTTTACAGACACTCATTTAAAACCAGCACAGCATTTGTCTTCAGCTTCACAGCCCTACCTTTCTCTGTTTTTAATTGGCTTGACAAGTTGCTTGCAATCATTACTCAACCTATTTTTCAAGTGATTAATAAAAATGACACAAAGGGAGGGGAAAGATTGCTCATCAGTGACCTAGTTAGAAGCTTCTTGGCTGAGCCCTCTTCTCCTGGGTGGAATGCACTCTGTCTTCTACGTGTTCATTACTGACAGATTGGGTAGGATCAGGATTAAGTCATATGTCCAAATACGGCTGGGAGGAGCAGCTCCAGCCAGGACAGGCATTAATCCCCCAAAGCAATGCACCTCTCAGTGCTCCCCAAGTCCTCCCATCAATACCCCAGTTGCCAGCCAACCTATTTCATAATGCCTGGCTGCTTCCCAGCTCTCTGCAGTCCAAGATATGGGCCATGCCCAGCCAGTGCCACAGGCAACTTGATGTTAGTGGAGAAAACAAGCATTCAGGGCTGGCAGAGAAGAGCAGCAGGTTCAGTAGCTCAGCTGAACATCCCAGCTCTTTGGAGAAAAGCTCTAGCAAGGTCAGTGTTCACATTTGCTGATTTCTAACTCTGAACCTGTCAGAAATCTCGTCTCTGAGGCGCGCTCTGACGACGACGGTGTGTGAGCCTTTCAGTGATAAGCAAGAGGCGGTTGTTGGTAGAAATCAAAGGATAAACTGTGCACAGGGAGCCTATTGAAGCCCTCACATAGGAAGGCCAGTGATGAGGTCACTTGGTTGCAGACTGGATCACTGAGGCAAAGAGAAGTAGGCCAGTCTGTCCACGTCACACAGCCCATTAGCTGCAGATAAAGGAAACTGGTTTCCTGTCCCGCAGTCCGGTCACTGGACCAGTGGTTCCCAGCCTGTCCCTTTGACAAGGCTCATGGCCACTTCCTCCTCCTCCTCTTTACCTAGTAGCCCCCTGCCCCTCTCCCACTCACGTTCCAAATTTCATAACCCCATCTAACACTCTTTAGACATCTGACAGCTCATGACAGTTGGTCCTTCCTTCCCCTCCCTTCAACTTGCAGCGCTGCCTTTCATGGAGCACCTGGCTGGCTGGATCCTGCTTCTCCCTCCCAGCTCCAGCCACTGCCTCCTCATGGCAGCATCAGCCCTTGCTGAGGGCCCAAGCTGACAAATCTGGCAAGGTTTCCTATCAGGGGCTCCAGATTGAATTCTTTGTGTGTTACTGAGGTTCCCTCTCACTATGGGGAACCAAGGGCACAATGACAACACACCACAGGTTTCTCACTTGCTGTGAGAAACATCAGGAGAACCATTGCTTTCAACAAACTGGACATTTCACTCCCAAAATACATTCTGGAAACCTCACAGGTAAAACAAACTTTCAGGGTCAAGGCTACTTCTTCCAGGACCTCCCTGTGAACCACTGCCACCCAAGTCTGGATGAAGCTGGCAGAGGGTTGGTACTCACACCTTCCTTCCTATCCTCCTCCCCAGGGCCAAGAAGCCAAATTGCACACAGTCTTTCTCTTATTTAATCAGACTATCCTGGGATGTTGGGAAATGCACTATTTACCACCTCTAGCCACCCTCCTATTCCCTGAAGGAATAATGTCTCTTGTGGAAGAAATGAAGCTGGCTTTAATTTATAGCTGACCCTCCCAGAACATAAAGTGTTCCAGGAGTAACAGTGAACGTGGGATGGTCACAATGGAAATAAAACCTGAGGTCAGGTAGAAGGACACTGTAAATGCAGCTGCTCCTATGGCTGTTTAGAGAGACAGTGTACAGGGTCATATTGTGACTCCAAAGACGGTGTGTACCTCCCCAAATACCCCAAGTATGTAGGAGTTGGTATTTTTTACTGGTTGCTGCTAAGGAATATTTGAATAAAAGCAGCACAATAAAGCAGGGGTGAGGTGCAGAGCTCTGGAAGTACAGTGAGGGCAGCAGGAGAGGTGAGAAGTGGACCTCTCCCCTGTGGAGCCTCCCACCACCGATCCAAAGAAAGGGAAGAAAGTTTTTTAGCGCAGCAGGAGCCGTGATCCACACAGAAGGAATCTGCTTCACTTCTGGAAAGAGCCACTTGGAAATACTTCACATTCCTGAGTGGGGCTTCTCAGTTGCTTATCCCATTTGCTTACAAACTTGTAGCATTACATGGAAAAAGTTGGAGGGACCCTTTGGCCAAGCGTGCAGATCATGCAAATGGCACGAAGGGAAGGGGACAACCGCAGCGAGAGGGCAGGGCATCGCTTTCAGATTTTATCCAAAGAAAGTCAGACCCATTCCCCACACTTTAGGTCTCAGATTTATGACACAACAGCTTTGTTTCCCCAGAAACAAAACTTCCCCAGTAACCTATTTCCACCTAGCAGCCCTGGCCGCTAACATTAGACACTTCAGCACTTCAACAGCCAAAGAACCTGTGGTCCTTTGAATACAAGGGTGGGCACTGCATCAACCTTTCTGAGCTTCACACACTGCCGGGGTGCTCTCTAAACAAATCCTCCTTGTCCTCTGTCCCCCTTGACCTAAGTCTCTGCTTCAAGTTTTAGCCTTTTTTCTCCCTCTTTCTCAGCAAACAAACAGGCAGCCTCCTCCCATGTCATGAGCCATAGAGAAAATACAACCACTTACTCCAACAAGCTGCATTTTAACTTGTCCCCCAACTCCCAGGAGGCACTCTCTGGTCTCCAGGACCCCAAGCTTAAGAGGGAAAATAATTATTCTCTCTTGAGAGAGCCCAAAGCTTCTCAAAAGACTTTTTCAGACAAGCTCTCTCGGCTCCACTTGCCATTTCAGCTCTAATCAACCACCTTCCAGAAATACAACCATCCAAAGCTGATATTCCTGCACTACCGTCTTTTCGGCTGTACCAGACCAGAGAAGATCCCACACAAGACAAATAACCCATCTTCTCCTGAGTTTGTATGAAGAAACAACAATCAGGTCAGCAAGTTCTCTACTGTGTAATAAACTGTGCATGCATCTATTGCTCTGCCATTTGTGATCTTCCTGTGTCCTGAATCTCAATCAGTTCTTCATTGTGAAGGTCTTTGTCCCAGATTAGGTCTCGGCTCAGCTGTGAGGCACAGAAAACACGCTGTCCTACAAAGGAAGGAATTACAATTCTCCAGGAGGCAGGAAGAAGGAGAAGGGTTCGAAAGACGCCAATGTAGATTTGAGTCAGAAATTGCAAATGACATCATGACACGACCTTCCGCTTCCTGTAACCCACACACGTCCACGGGGACAAACGGCACAACAACCCCTCACAAATGTATAACACCTTTTATTAGGTAATCTCCAGGTTACTACGCAAACATTAATTAAGCCTCTTACCTGCCTACCTCTCAGGGCTGCTAAGTATTACATCCTTCTACAGAAAACTGTCTGTGCCAAGGTCAGTCCGTGGCAAGAGCAGGATTACAACTCCCACCCCCTTTTGTCCACAAGGCTCTACTGCCCATGCTGGTCTAGTCTGCTTCAGCATTTCATCTGCCTCAACTGGATGAGCTGGTAGAATTGGGGTTGCATCTCCAGCTTAATGTCAGAACACATGAATTGTGGCATTTCTTGGCTTATGCTCCAAGATTACGGTCTACAGCACAAGAAACCCTTGTTGCACCAGGACGACACTCTGCTGCACGTGCAGGTTGCTAAAATTTTCATGGGCCAAGAGCCACAAGACAC